GAAGCAGCTTGCAACATCAACTGGCTAAAGATGAGAGCAGGGAGACTCATCCTACGTCATTTCCAGCAGGACATTCTACACCAACATGTATTATTGATGACGGACAATGTGCCCACCATGGCACACATAAACCGGGGAGCACAAGATCCAGGAAGCTCATGGCAGAAGCAGAGGCCCTGGGCAGGTGGGCAGAGTGTCACGTCGAATCCAGGTCGAGCTGATCACATCTTGGGGGTGTACAACACCCAGGTGGACTGATTGAGCAGGACCATCATAGACAATGCAGAATGGCGCCTGCACGTAGTCCTGTTCCCACAGTTGGCCCACAGATTTGGCACCCCCGTGATCGACCTGTTTGCCACCCAGGAGAACACACAGCTACATCACTTCTTCTCCTGCTTTCACTCGCCCTGGACGGAAGGGACAGATGCCCTCTGCTGCAAATGACCTTGGGAACTTTTGTACCCTTTCCCACCTCTTCCCCTTCTACTGCAAGTGATCCACAAAATCATTGCTGAGGGGGTGGAGGTGCTTCTGGTGGTGCCTCACTGGCCCCGGAAGTCCTGGTACGCCAACCTCGTCAGCCTCTCAGTGTCCAGCCCATGGAGAATCCATCAGGGTCAGGTCTCCCTCAGCCAGGGGCTATCGTCCATCCGGAACCCCAGTGGCTCCAGTTGGTCATCTGACACTTGAGAGGGACCTCCTGAGAAGGGACAGCCTCTTGGAGGAGGTGATACGTACCATCCAGGCGTCCAGTTGACCCTTGATGACCAGAATTTACAACGCCACTTGGACCACCTTTGCCAAGTGGTGCGACACCAGCCATATTGATCTGGTCATAGCACCAGTTCCACGTATATTGGACTTTCTATAGGAGGGCCTCGATAGGGGGCTCGCTCCCAATACCCTCCGCCATCAGCTTGCTGCATTATCCATTGTCTGGTCTGGAGATTCAGCTCAGCCCCTCAGCAGACTACTTAAGGTCCAGTGTTTTCTCAAGGGTGCCTCCAATCTGCACCCTCCGGTGGTCCACCGTTACCCGACCTGGCAGTTATCGGTTGTTCTTTAGGCTCTAACGTCAGCTCCCTTTGAACCTCTTGGTGAGGCTTCCCTCCGACACTTCACATTTAAGACGGTCGTTCTTATTGCTATAACATCTGCAATGAGAATATCGGAGCTGGTGGCCCTGTCTGTCTGAGAGGACCTATGTATTATACATCCGGACAGATTGTGCTTCGCCCGGCCTTCATTCCAAAAATTAACACATGGTTAAGGGTGCAAGAGGTAATTTTACCAAACTTTGGTCTGCGTCCCAGACACATGAGGGAACGGGTCTGTCATACTATGGACGTCAGATGGGCCCTGCATAGATATATTAAATGGACAGCAGAATTCCTCAGGTCCAAGGCCCTTTTCGTGTCATTCCAGCCAGGATCCATGGAGTGAAAGGTAACATCTTCGACTGTTGGCAGATGGCTGAGGGCGTGCATCACGGCTGCATATGAGCACCAGTCTAAAGCAGTTCTTCGACATATCACCACTCACTCTCTACAAGGAGCACGGCCGCCACCCCTGCCTGGGCAATCTAGGCTACAATAGACGAAATCTGCAGAGCGTAGTCATCCCCATCGCCCTTTGTCAGAAACTATAAATTGGACATGTTTGCCTCTGCCAAGGCATCATTCGGCATCATTCGGCAGGCGGGTCCTGCAGGGGGTTGTTTCCACGACCAACTCCATGGACAGACCTCCTTCCCACCCTAGTGACAATTAACTTGGGTATGTCCCATGCTTGGACTCTCCAAGCAGCGCACAGGAGAATGACCATTGGCTTACCTGAAGGGTCCTTTTCTGTGCACTGCAGGAGAGTCCAACCCTGCCCAGGGTCTTCGGGTCCAGGGATTCGGGGCCATCAGATCGACTCCGTTTTTTTTCATCGCATAATCAGTCTTCTTCGGTTCCAGAACTTGTCAAAAATCTGGCATTAAGTAGTACCAGGAAGCGTGGCTAAAGAAAAATATTACCTCAGTCCTTGGACAATCAGACTAATTTAACCCATGCTTGGACTCTCACGCAGCACACAGAGAAGGACCATTCAGGTAAGCCAATGTTCATTTTCTTTTAGCTGGAATTTTTCTTGTACACCTGTTCTGTTTTTAAACTCTAAAAGGCAGCAAATGTAATATTGAGAGATATAAAGTACACTGATAAATGTAGGGTATACATATAAAATAAACTGAAAAAGATGAAGATAGAAAAAAACCAAACTGGATTGCAGAACAAATCATGGAAATAGGGGAAGGGGGGAAAGAGAAGCCAAAGCAAAGAAAGACAGAAATCTCAGGAAGGAACTTAACAAAGAATTTCGCAGAGCTGTCAGAAAAGACATGAAGGAGAATTACAAGATCTGTAAAGACACTGAACATGAAAATATAGATGGAAAAATAAAAAATAAAGTCTTTCAAAAATCTCTCAGGAGTCTTCTAAAAAGTGGTAGGGAATTTTTTTCTCTGCAAACAGATAGCTGATTTCACTGCCAAAGCCAGCTGGCATCAAACTCCCCTGATTCGAGCGGGAGCTATGAGGAATGACCCAGGATGACTCTCAGATGACTATATACTTACCTGGGAAGAATAATACTGATGGTTGCAAATCACAGTAAGAATGGCTAGAAAGTCAGCTGTCTATCTTCTCAGCTGTTCATTTTTTAAAGTGCACCTTCATTTTAACATCACTTTTTTAATTTCTTTTTTTTAATTTACATTTTAATTGTTAATTATCTCCTTGAATGCTGAACTATCCTAAATTCCCTTACTGTATTATAATTATTTATTATTGTATATTTCTGGAGTTACAAAACACTTTTTCTCCATGGAAGTCAATGGCACAAAGACTTTTTTCTTGGAAATGAAAGTGATCTAATTTGATCCACATTTACATTGGACTCGTATACTAAGGATTTTGATAATTTAATAGTTTTGAAAAGAACTAAAAGTTTTCTTAAAACTTTTGCTTGTATCCTTGATCTTTTCTCCTCTTAAAAAGGCAGGGATTTTTTTCCCCTGTCTTATCTCTTGATTTTCTATGATGGGAAAAATTATCTCAATTTCTCTTGTATAGAACAGTTACATCTTCTGTATTTGACAGGAATTGCCTGTTTTTGTTATGAAAGTCCAGCTACAGTTAAGTTTGCAGTATATTAAAAAGGAAAGCAATCAGAAATTAAGGATTTGAACATTATACATTTTCTTCAATGCCTATAAAAAGAGATACAAAAGAAAGGCATATGCCAGATCAAGTTAATATTAAGGTGTTTTTAGAAGCCTTTGAAAAAGGGATGCTTTTTAACTTACAAGCAGTGTTTGAAAATTTAAATAAAAAATCCAATGAAGTAATAACAGATAAATCAACCTAAGGAAGATGTCCAACTACAGGTAACAGTATCAGTATCCGTATTCAACTAGGGTAGGCAATATATGTGTATTGTTGTTTTTTTTCTTTCTTATTGCACATTTCTTTTATTTGTCCTGTTTAGTTTAGTTTTTGTTTTTTAATTTGTATTTTAACCTTTGAATAAAATAAAATTTGATGAAACAAAGATCTCTGAACTCAGAAGGAAGTACCAATTTTGAATTATGTTAAAGACATCATTGGACAGAAAGTAACCGATTCAAAGAGATCAAATGAAGATGGAAAGAGTAGACTAAAATACTTTACAATAGAGATGTAAACATTCAAGATATCTTAGAAGACATTTTCTACTTATAAGAACGCCTAGATATAGAAGAGGTTAGCCCAGCACTCTGGTCATTACCAGGAAGGATACAGGAATTGTTGGAATATCACAAAAATATGACAAGCAGCAGCAGAAGAATCAGAAAAGATCTTACCCAACCTATGTTAACAAATCTGGAGAATGGCACAGTGGCCAACAGATTGGAAGAGATCAATCTACATTCCAATACTCCAAAGGTGACTTAATAGAGAGTGTGAATTATCATACAATGTCCTTAATTTTTTCTGTTATCCTGTAATCTGACTATTCTGTTAATAATCCTCAAGATGCTAGCAAAATAATGCATAGGATCATCCAATCCAGAAAGAGATACAAAGAGATATTAGCTGTTCATGATGGCTTTAGTAAAAGCTAAGGAACACAACAACCTGCACTATGCTGATGACACTACTCTAATAGTGGAAGTAGAAAGTATCTGCAAGGTTTACTAATAATTCAAGGAGCATATGAAAAAATGGGACTAAAATATAAAAGCCAAACTAATGACAAAAGGTACAACAACCATCATTAGAAATGACAGTGAAGATCATTCACTATCATTCATTGAAGATAGTGAAGTGGTAGACAGCTTCTTTAGGGATCAACTATTACCAATAAAGGAACAAGAAGTCAAGAAATATGTGGTAGAAGATATTCAGATGATATACTGTCTCCATTCCTATAAGGATCAGAATGGTGCAGACAATTGTACTCCTTGTGGCTCACTATAGATGTGAATGGACAATGAAGAAAATAAATAAATAGATTATCAAATAAATCAAAATTTGATCACACGGACATATTTATCCCATGTTTAAAACATTAAACAGCAGTGGGTTGATTGTGGTCCATATGTCTGATGTATTTAATTTAGACTGGTTTATCACTCTTCAAATGTAACCATTTAACCTGATCCTATAGTCACTCTCAATAGCTAAATAATAGCTACAGTAGCTAGCTAGACAGATAGATATATCTACTAAATAAGCTGTAGTAGTATTTATCCTTACCTTCTTTACCCTTTTATTGGTACTATTATTGTTCTGCTGCTTTGCATGTACAGAGTGCTTCTGTGCCAAATTATTTGTTATCTAATCACACTTTTAATGATTGCAAGTTCTTACTTATCTTGTCACCTGAAATTTACTTTATTGCATGAAAATAATTCTGCATAAAAAACTTAGCCTTAGCACGTTAACAGTTTCTATATCTTTTGTATTTTCTAGGATGATAGTCCTCGTGATAGTTTGTCTGCTCCTGAATCAGTCCCAGTAACTGTGTATATTGATCTGCTTATGATAGAGAGGAAAGATGATGGCTCGTTTTACATTACAGGTAGAACTTTTCTTCCCTTCCCCATATTTAATACTGGCAACATTCAAAGTAAATGTTCTGAAAAATTTCATGTTTCTTCTGAATTTTTTAAGTTATCTCTATTTTATAATAGATTTTGTCTTGTTAAATGTATTAGCATTAACAGTTAATGAATAACTGCTAGTTGCAGAGTAAGTGTAGTTGTCTACTGATTACTTGCACAAAATAATTTTCTATCTATGTTAAAGTTGCATGTTTATGCATTTATATAATTCCCATTGTATAACTAGACTTACTTTAAGAAATCAAATTAAAGTTGCATTAGATTAACCAATAACTTTAGAAAAATGTAGTTCCAGTTCCCATGTTTTTGTCAACATCATTTGGCAAAGACAGCATTACTGAATCTTATTTTTTCCTGTTTTTATTATATTACTGTAAATCTTAGTATATTATTATGTTGTTTATATTAATTAAAATTGACATTTTATCACTAAGATAACTTAGAATATTTTTTATTTTTACTTTCTAATATTCTGTTGATATTAATTGCAATTTAGAAAAGTGGTTCCCAAAGTGGGCGATACCACCTCCTAGGGGGCTGTGGGACGACTTAGGGGGCGCTAAGAGGCAAGTGGGACGCTAAGAGGCCAGGGAGGTGGCAGAGGAGTGCTGGAGGTGTTCTGCTATACTGTACTCACGACTCGCCTAGCTTAGCGCGCAGGCATGGAAGGGAATGCGATGGGACCGAAAGCAAGAGTCCTTCCCCGCGTGACTTGTGTGGAGGTGGCGGCTCAGTCTCACCTCACCAGGAACCAGCGACACCGTACCTTTAGGAAGGCTTGGGTCTCTCGCGCGCCTTCAATGGGTGGAAGGGCTGGGTTCTTCTTCACCACGCGAGACTGGCAGTTAAATCTACTCCTCCAGCTGCGGGGCGGCGTCCGTGAACCCCTAAACGTAGCAGTCTGAATTTTCATCTCATGGGCATGGGAATGATGCAACAGTTATAAGTGTAAAAGAACAATCATAACTCAATTCTTTCAGTGCCATTGTAACTTCATACTGTCACTAAACTAATAGTTGTAAGATAAGGGCCACCTGTATTTCACAAATTGCTAGGGAAGATACAAACTTGCTCTCTTCCTGCCTACATTCCAAACTCTGCTATCTCTTTGCCCTCTGAAAAGCCTTTTTCCTCCTGCTGCAGACTACAGGTACAGGTAGTCCTCAGATTATGACTATAATTGAGCCCAAAATTTCTGTTGTTAAATGAAAAGTTGTTAAGTGAATTTTGCCCTATTTTATTATCTTTCTTGCCACTTGTTAAATGAATCACTGCACTTGTTGCTAACGTTGTTAAGTGAATCTGGCTTCTCCATTGACTTTGCCTTATAAAAAGGTTGCAAAAGATGATCATATGACAACGGGACACTCCAACCATCGTAAATACAGTATGAGTCAGTTGCCAAGCATCCAAATTTTGATCTTACGACCATGGGTATGCTACACTGGTCATAACTGTCAAAAATGGTCATGTCACTTTTTCAATATCTTTTCAATGATGAAGATTTTGATCGTTTGCTGCTTCATACAGAA